CTACTAGTAGCAAAGGACTCATTTCCGGCCATTGAATACTAAAATTAATAGAGAGCGCAAACTTCAGCTAAAAACTGAAAGAACCTTCCATGAGGAAATGACTTTGTATCAATGCAAATCATTCTCAAAATAGAGCAGATAAAGTAGTCAATTGAACCTTGTACTATTATCAAATTCCTACAAAATAGAAGAAAAATGAAAAGTTGTTCTTACTTAGCTGTAAATCAGGTGATAATTCTCATAATAATATGGGCAAGGTGGTTTTTGTGATAACTAGAACTGTCACGACCCATTTTCTGAACAAGTCGGGGCCGGCACTCGATAACTAAACATGACCGAGTGAACCATCTCTGCTTATCAAATATATTATAACTCCAACTTTATATGCAACAAGACAATACTCTAACAAAATACTTTTGATTAATTTAAATATTTAAATAAATCAACTCCAAAACTTTATTCGTAGTAACTACTGAATTACTGCTAAGTTATTATCAAAAACATCTCAATCTTAATCCAACGACTATGTCTATGAAGCCTCTACTAATAAACTGACGCACTGCTCAAGACATGAGATTTTCTGGAAAGTTATCTAAGTAAACAAAGAAATAACTAAATAAAGATGACTCAAAGTAATACTCCACGAACAAAAGCGGAGCTCACCAATAGCACTGGAAGAGAAGGAAGTCCTAACCCATAGCCTGCTCGCCTGCAAAATCGGTTCCTACGTTGTACTGCAGACCAACGTTGGTTCCCAAAAGAGAACGTCAATACCATCCATTGTACTCAGTGAGTCTCAACAATGGGGGCAAAAATTTAATAACATATACATTACGAGCAAAGATTCTAAATGCATGTAAAACATAAAGCTTCTAAGAATAGTTCTAAAATAATTGCATAATAGCAGTTTATGAATATTATAAAAGAAATTCTTCTCTCTTTCTAGGAGTTCCAACTATCCTGACTTAATTTTGTCTCAGTCACCGTGTGATCGGCACGGGTTCGATCCCAACCTGATCGAATAGGCCCAATCCACGAGGTGCCACTCGCTTCATGGTTCTCAACGTTCATGTATCATAGCTTAGCATAGCTAAGTAAATTCTCAGCAACGAGACCCTCGCTCGTGTGCTCCCTACTTTGGCACAAGTAGTTTCAGGAAGTCAACGCCTTGGTCAGAACCCTCGGCCTGGATGATGACCCCTTCTCAGAATAAAGGATACTCCCAAAAATCTTTTCTTTCTAAAACATCATCTTGTGACTTTTCAAGTCTAGATCTTTTCTTTATAGAACATCATGTACATGCTCATGCTGGTATCCTTAAATGTAAAGTATGTCATAAGAATGAAATAAACATGTAAAAGTATTCCTAAAGATTCTTGCTTCTTCATAAATTTTCAACATGAAAATAGCATATAAGAATAACACAAAAATCTGAAAATTTATGCATGTATATCATAATAAATCGTCTAAACTTTTGTTAGAACAATTCTAAGTTAATAGGTACTCACTCGCTCCAATTAAGTAAATATAAACTCTTTTAAGCAATTCATCAAACACCTTGTATGCGTGCTTTTGTCAGTTAAACCACTTTAGTAAAGGGTTATATCAACTCAACTCAATACTCCTTGAGCCAATACGTAGATTGTAGTCCAATTTATACCCGTCAAACAATTGATTCTACAATAACCAGTGCATTTTATTTGATTCCAAAGTTTCACACATAAACATGAAATTTGATGGTGATACGGAGAAAGAAAGGAATTAACTATTCAATTCTTACCTATTACTACTATGGGGTAATTGACAGTAGGGAATTTCACATACTTGAGTTTAAGAATTAGTGATTTGTAAAGAACCCTAGAATTTTCTTTGCCTGTGTAAGTATTTCGCTAACGCTGCTTCTATTTTTTGTTGCGCAACAGAATGTCGAGTTTTGTTTTAAATTTTCCTAAGGCTTACGCCGTTTGCCTGCTAATTGCGAAGAGTCCTTTATGGGCTTTGTTGCACGTGACTTCTCTTTTGCTTTCTTTATTCTTTTTTTTTTACTTAACTAGTATTTAATTATTCTTACTTTTAATAATTAGTAATATTAAAATTATTAATATTCCCCTTATTGTATATCCAATTATTTATAAATAGAGAAGTAACTCAAAATCAATCACAAGTGTTTTAATCCGTAATAGAAGTATAATTTAAGATTATAAAAAATTAAATTCTATATTTAGCGAGTCTTGAAACTTTTATAGGTTTGAGGAGTATTACAATCTTCCCTCCATAAAAACATTCGCCCTCGAATGTTGCTAGGGCCTTATTCTTAAGCTTACAAGCATTCCTTAGGTCCTTGGACCTCTTAAGTTTTCTTAGCACTACTCACTCTTCCAAGGGAGTCAGAATTTTGGCTAACTCCCTAAATTTTCAAAAATTTCGGCAGAGTTCCCTTTGTAAATTGGACTATCCAAAAAAATATCTCTGTCACAAATACCGCAACCACATCAAGAACAACCAAATATACCATAACAGGTCATTCATAGGCACCATACGCAGCTCATTAATTAATTACTCACACTCCGTCAAATAGGCACCACAATAACTAACAAGAATCTAAAGCACAACAACTTTAGCACAAGTAAATAACTTTAATGAATTTAATATACTATGGCATAAACTAAATTACTATAACATAAGTATAATCTAGGAAGGACAGAAACACTTGCTAACTTGTATTTAATAAATGAAATATAAATGTCAAACCAAACTTAGGTTCACATACCTTTTTCCTCAAATAAATATGGATATTTCTTTCTCATATCTTCGTCGACCTCCCATGTAGCCTCTTTTGAATCATGATTACTCCACAAAACTTTTACCGATGCTAAATCTTTTGTTCTCAACTTTCTTACTTGCCAATCGAGAATTTCTATATGTACCTCTTCATAAGTCAAGCCTTCTTTAATTTCTATGGTATCGATATGTATTACATGCGACTCATCATAAATGTACTTTCTAAGCATAGACACATGAAAGACGGGATGAACAGAGGACAACTCAATGGGTAGCGCTAGCTTATAAGCCACGTTTCCTTTCTTTTCTAGAATTTCATAAGGTCCGATAAATCTAGGGCTAAGTTTCACTTTCTTACCAAACCTCATAACTCTTTTTATTGGTGATACTTTGAAAAATACTTTATCACCAACCGTGAACTCTAACTCACGATGCCTCTTATCAGAATAAGACTTTTGACGACTCTGAGTCGTTTTAAGTCTTTCTCTAATTAGCTGAACTTTCTCCAAAGCCTCACAAACAAACTCTGGACCAATCAACGACACTTTTGTTGGTTCAAAACAACCCACTGGAGACCTACATCTCCGCCCATACAATGCTTCATAAGGAGCCATACTAATGCTGGCATGATAGCTGTTATTGTAAGCAATTTCTATAAGTGGCAAGTGATCATCCCAATTACCTCCAAAATTTATAACACACGTATGCAACATATCTTCGAGAGTCTGAATGGTCCTTTCTGCCTGGCCATCGGTCTGTGGATGGAAAGCGGTGCTTAAAATGACCTTGGTACCTAATCTTTTCTGAAATGCTTTCCAAAAATGCACCGTGAACTGAGGGTCTCTGTCAGATATGATTGAAACTGGAGTACCATGCAATCAGACTATTTCTTTGATGTACAACTGCGCATATTGCTCTACGAAATCTGTCATCTTTACTAGTAGGAAATGCGCGGACTTTGTCAGTCGGTCTACAACAACCCAAATTGAATCATGTTTACGGTACATGCGAGGTAGACCTACTACGAAATCCATATTAATCATCTCCCACTTCTATTGTGGTATCTCTATATCTTGAGCTAGGCCACCAAGCCTCTGATGCTCGGCTTTGACTTGCTGACAATTTAAACATTTAGCCACATGATCTGCTATTTGTTTCTTCATGCCTTTCCACCAATATAACTCTTTCAAATCTAGATATATTTTGGTAGCACCTGGGTGAATAGAGTACCTCAAACTGTGAGCTTCCTCCATTATGGTCTTCCTAAGACCATCTACATCATGCACACATAACCGATCATTCAACTTTAAAACTTCATCACTTCCTAGAGTGAAAGCAGTGATTTCTTTGTTTCCGACTCCTTCCTTTAATTTCACTAAGTGCGGATCTTCGTCTTGCTTAGCCTTAACATGCACAACAAGGGAGGATTGCGCTAAGGCATAAGCAGTTATACCTCCTTCTTCAGTATCATCCAATCTAATTCCATCATTTGCCAGTTTTTTGAATTTCTCGGCCCAAAGATCGCCTTTTTAATTCAAGATGGGCCAAGACCCCCATTGACATCCTACTAAGTGCATCTGCTACCACATTAGCTTTGCCCGGGTGATAAAGGATATTGATATCGTAATCTTTCAATAACTCGAGCCACCTTCTCTTTCTCAAATTTAATTATTTTTGCTTGAAAATGTACTGAAGGCTTTTGTGATCTGTAAACACTTCAGAATGCTTGCCATAAAGGTAGTGTCGCCATATCTTTAATGCAAACACCACTAATGCAAGCTCCAAGTCGTTTGTGGGATAGTTCTTTTCATGATTCTTTAACTGCATGGAAGCATAAGCAATAACATTTCCATTTTGCATAAGAACACAACCGAGACCAACTCTGGAGGCATCACAATACACTGTGAACACACCCGAACCTGTCGGCAAGGTTAATATAGGTGCAGTGATCAACCTCTTCTTTAACTCTTGAAAACTCCGCTCACAAGTGACCACTGGAACTTAATTGCTTTCTAAGTCAACTTAGTTAATGGAGCTACAAGTGAGGAAAACCCATCTACAAACCTTCTATAGTAGTCAGCTAACCCCAAGAAACTCCTGATTTCGGTTGGCATTGTCGGCCTAGGCCAGTTCTTGACTGCTTCTGTCTTCTGAGGGTCTACTTTTATTCCTTCACTAGATACCACGTGGCCCAAGAATGCCACTGACTGCAGCCAGAATTCACATTTTGAAAACATGATATAAATCTCATTCTCCTTCAAGGTCTGCAAGGCTAATCTGAGGTGTTCTGCATGATCTTCCTTGCTCTTAGAGTACACCAAAATATCGTCTATAAACACAACAATAAAGGTATCCAGGAATGGCTTGAAAACTCTGTTCATGAGGTCCATGAATGCAGCTAGAGCATTTGTCAACCCGAAAGACATCACTAGAAATTCATAGTACCCGTAGCGAGTTCGAAGGGCTGTTTTAGATATATCTTCTTCCCTAATTCTCAACTGATTGTACCCTGACCTCAAGTTTATTTTTGAAAAGTACTTTGCACTCTGAATTTGATCAAATAAATCATCAATTCTTGGCAGCGGGTACTTGTTCTTAATGGTAACTTTATTCAACTGTTGATAGTCGACGCACATTCTGAGAGACCCATCTTTCTTCTTGACAAACAGGACCGGGGCACCCCAAGGTGAAACACTCGGCCTGAAGAAGCCCTTGTCAATGAGGTCTTTCAACTGTTCTCTCAAATCATCAAGTTCTGCTGGAGCCATCCTATAAGGAGTATAGATATGGGCTGAGTGCCTGACATGAGATCAATGCCAAAATGTATGATTCTTTTAGGAGGAAGTCCGGGAAGGTCATCTGGGAAAACTTCTAGAAATTCTCTAACAACTGGCACAGATTGAAGAGCTAGTGGTCCTGATTCTAGATTAATGATGTGAGCCAAATAAGCGAGATACCCCTTACTGATCATTCCTTGTGCCTTAAGGTAAGAAATAAACTTACCTACAAGCGATGCTGAACTAAACCCTTCCACTCTAAGACTTCTTCATTTGGAAATTGGAACCTGGCTATCTTGGCATGACAATCTAACATGGCATGGAAAGAAGATAAGCAATCCATACCCATGATCACATCGAAATCCACCATTTCTAACTCTATAAGATCGGCTTTGGTGTTGCGACCTTGGACTGAAACTATACAACCTCTATAGACTCTTGTGACTTTCACTGACTCGCCAACTGGAGTAGATACTAGGAATGGCTCACTAAGTTGTTCAGGTTCTAGTCCGAGGTTAATTGCAAAGTATGGAGTCACATATGAAAACGTTTAACCTGGATCCATTATGCATAAACATCACGTGAGCAGACTAGAAGTATACCTGTAATAACTTTTGTAGATGCCTCTGCACTCTGACGATTAAGTGTAGCAAACAAACGGGGTTGTCCTCTCCCTGAGTAACTCAATCTACACCTTTACCTGCCCCATGCCCGGTCTGATTATGAGAACCACGAGCCTGAGGTGGTGCAACTGCAGTAGCTGAGGAACTAGAAGGACGAGTTGATCCACCACTTAAATTACCTCGCAACTTTGGGCAGTTGGCTTTTATATGACCAATGTCTCCATAGTGATAGCAACCATGAAACCCGAGCTTATACTGACCTGAATGTTGTCGCTTACATGTTCCACAAAGACCTTGTTGGTGTGAATGTTGCTCATTCTGACTTTGGCTATGCGAGGATGATGTCCTAAAATTCTGATTCTAGAGAGATTGATTTCCATAACTCTGAGTATGTCTGAAGGAAGACCCACTACCTGACTGATGACTAGACTGAGCTGGTGCTAATGACTCCTTATTAGAGGAATCCCTTCCACCTCCGCTGGATGTACCATTAAACCTGCCCGCTATCCGGGCTTTCTTGTTATGCTTTTTTTCTTCTCTCTTTTGATGTCTGTCTTTTTCTAAGTGCTTGGAAAATCCCACAACAGAGGAGAAGGCTGTCATCCCTACTGATGTAGCTGATGTCGTATCCTTAATGCGGTAAGCTAAACCGCCAACAAACCTACGAATCTTTGCTTTTTCTATCTTAACCATGTGAGCAGCATGCTTAGCTAACCTTATGAATTCAATGTAGTACTCTTGCACATTTTTATTCCCTTGCTTTAGCTGTTCGAACTCTATAGCCTTAGCTTTCCTATCCTCTTCTGGGATAAAGTTAGCCATGAAGGCCTCTTCAAATTCTTCCCATGTAGGCGGACCATCATCTTCATCTCTTTCCTTTTGCCACATCTAAAACCAAGTGCCAGCCACATCTCTAAGCTGGTGAGCAACCAGCTCCACAGCTTCATCATCAAATGCTTTCATCACTCAGAGGGCTTTCTTGACACCCTCCAGCCACAATATTAGATCTTCATCAACTATAGAACCATGGAACACTAGAGGACTCAACTTTAAAAATGCATTCACTCTTGAGGACTCAGAATTGTTCTGTCTATTTGATTGAGATGGAATCTCATCTGTTCTCTTGTTCTGGTTGGCCATAAAGGATTTAAACATCTCCATAGCACTATTGACAGTATTAAACATCTGACCCATCTCGGAAGATATAGTTGCCTGAGCGGGAGCTGCTGTTGGGGGCGGCATTGGATCCTGAGGTACTGGATCATCATGCTCTACCCCTTCTTCATGTTCAACCCGGGGTACTTGAACACCCTTTATGGATTTACTTTTCCTTTTCTGAGTTGGAGCCTTTTTAGTTCTGCCTTGAGCCACAATGGTAGCAATAGTTTCTTGAGCAGCATCCTGAGTGTTGGTGTTAGAGTTGCGAGTATGAGCCATTTCTGCGAGTTTTGGAGAAAAGAATACATTAGATAATTTCATAGGGGTAGGCTCTATTTTACGATCTAAAGTATGAAAAAAATGAGACTTTTCCTAAATGCTTGTAGCCTCCTGTTTATAAGTATGACGCGCTTCATACACATAAACAAGACTCTACTAACACGGTTTCATAGACCCCTAGGACTCCATAAACCTGAGGCTCTGATACAAAGTTTGTCACGACCCAAGACGGGACCGACACTTGATAACTAAACATGACCGAGCGAACTATCTATGCTTATCAAATCTATTATAACTCCAACTTTCTATGCAACAAGGCAATACTCTAACCAAATACTTTTGATTAATTTAAATATTTAAATAAATCAACTCCAAAACTTTATTCGTAATAACTACTAAATTACTGCTCAGTTATTATCAAAAACATCTAAATCTTAACCCAACGACTATGTCTATGAAACCTCTACTGATAAACTGACACACTGCTCAAGACATGAGATTTCCTGGTCAGTTATCTAAGTAAACAAAAAATAACTAAATAAAGATGACTCAATGGAATACTCCACGAACAGAAGCGGAGCTCACCAATAGCACTAAAAGAGAAGGAAGTCCTAACCCATAGCTTGCTCGCCTGCAAAATCAGTTCCTACGTTGTACTGCAGACCAACGTAGTTTCCCAAAAAAGAACGTCAGTACCATCTATTGTACTCGGTGAGTCTCAACAATTGGGGAAAAACTTTAATAACATATACATTTACGAGCAAAGGTTCAAAGTGTATGTAAAATATAAAGCTTATAAGAATAGCTCTAAAATAATTACATAATAGCAGTTTATGAATATTCTAAAAGAAATTCTTTTCTCTTTCTAAACAAATTACTTCTCTTTATACCTTGGGAGTTCCAACTATCCTGACTTAATTCTGTCTCATTCACCGTGTGATCGGCACGGGTTCTATCCCAACCTGATCGAATAGGCTCAATCCACGAGGTGTCACTCGCTTCATGGTTCTCAGCGCTCATGTATCATAGCTTAGCATAGCTAAGTAAATTCTCAACAATGAGACCCTCGGCTCATGTGCTCCCAACTTTGGCACAAGTAGTTTCAGGAAGTCAACGCCTTGGTCAGAACCCTCGGTCGGGACGATGACCCTTTTTTAGAATAAAGGATACTCCCAAAAATCTTTTCTTTCTAAAACATCTTCTTGTGACTTTTCAAGTCTAGATCTTTTCTTTATAGAATATCATGTACATGCTCATGCTGGTATCCTTAAATGTAAAGTCTGTCAGAAGAATGAAATAAACATGTAAAAGTATTCCTAAAGATTCTTAATTATTCATAAATTTTCAACATGAAAATAGCATATAAGAATAACACAAAAATCTGAAAATATGCACGTATATCATAATAAATCGTCTAAACTTTTGCTAGAACAATTCTAAGTTAATAGATACTCACTCGCTCCAATTAAGTAAATATAAACTCTTTTAAGCAATTCATCAAACACCTTGTATGCGTGCTTTTGTGAGTTAAACCACTTTAGTAAAGGGTTGTATCAACACACCTCAATATTCCTTTAGTCCAATTTATATTCATCAAATAATTGATTCTACAACAACCAGTGAGTTTTATTTGATTCCAAAGTTTCACACCCAAACATGAAATTTGATGGTGATACAGAGAAGGAAAAAAATTAACTATTCAACTTTTACCTATTACTACTATGAGGTAATTGACAATAGAGAATTTCACATACCTGAGTTTAAGAATTAGTGATTTGCAAAGAACCCTAGAATTTTCTTTGCCTGTGTAAGTATTTCGCTAACGCCTCTTTAGTTTTTTGTTGGGCAACATAATGTCGAGCTTTGTTTTAAATTTTCCTAAGGCTTACGCCTTTTGCATGCTTATTGCCAAGAGTTCTTTATGGGCTTTGTTGCACGTGACTTTTTTTTTTTTTAACTTAACTAGTATTTAATTATTCCTACTTTCAATAATTGGTAATATTAAAATTATTAATATTCCCTAATTGTACATCCATTTATTTATAAATAGAGAAGTAACTCAAAATCAATCACAAGTGTTTTAATCTGTAATAAAAGTATAATTTAAGATTATAAAAATTAAATTTTATATTTAGCGAGTCTTGAAATTTTTATAGGTTTGAGGAGTGTTACAAGAACAAAGTAAAATAATTTTTGTGTAACAAAAGAAAGAAAAGTGACTTTTGGATAATGAGCATGTTAGAAAATAATAATCAAAATTGGCTTTGAGGCGTGAAAATCGACTGTCCTTAAAGAGTTATCGCCTGTATACTAATTTAGGAAAAATACAAAACGATTCTCTTCAGGATACAACAAAGCCTGCAGTAACACTTGTGATTTTCTATATCCACTTCGTTGGAATTCTTGTGTATTTATAGGCAACCAATAGACCATTTCAGAAAAGATGTCTTGTTTCACAAACAGACACGTCTATTTATTCGAATTTTGAATTTAAAATTCAAATAAATAAATAATTAACTCTAGGATCTCGTGCCTGTTGAGTCAATCTCGTGCCTGTTGAGACAATCTCATGCCTGTTGAGTCAGTCGCGTGCCNTCTATTTATTCGAATTTTGAATTTAAAATTCAAATAAATAAATAATTAACTCTAGGATCTCGTGCCTGTTGAGTCAATCTCGTGCCTGTTGAGACAAT